ACGACATTTACAGTGAACATTTAGATGCGGGCCAATTTTTTAATTGGTTTTTCTTTTCCGTAGGAGCCGATACGTTTTCAACTCGTAACGCTGATGCTCAAAAAGCGCGTACCGAGACTTTTGGCACTCACTTAACTCATCCACTCGGCGCAAGTTTTAACATTGAGTCAAGAAAACTGCAGTAAGGATAAGGGAAGCTCACTACCCTACAGGGCCAACGCAACTCCTTGTCTGTGGGGTCAGAGCCTGTGCACGCACCGAAGCCGGTCATTTGCCCAGAAAAGTGACCATTGGCGTAAGACCAAGTGGCCCTTTGAACGCCACAGGGAAACTTCTTTATAAAATTGATCTTACTTGTAGTTAAATATTTGTTTTTTCCAGCCGTGGTAAATGACTCAATGATACTTTCATAACGACATCATTGAAAACAATGAACAAATGAGGAAAAGGTTAAAATGAAGAATATCATTATATTATATGCACCAAAGTAACCCTACACCCACATCTTCAAATTTAAAACTCAAGATGTGACACAGTGGTTATTTACGCTTTATTATTTGAAATCGAAATATTCTCTTGTGAATTTTTTTTTACTGAAACATGGGAGACGGTCAGGTTTTTGTGCAAACAAAACGATACAGTTGCGTAGCTAAGAGGAGGGGGGTAGGGGGGTTCAATTCCCCCCGCCACTTATTCACCTTTTTTTTTCTTAATTTCGCGCTGACTTGATTCAAAAACTATGCGGTGCTACTATCACAATATTATTACTGGACTTTTTTACAGTGATTAATGTCAGCACACGGGAAAGCGTGTTGCGGTGTTTGCCAAGGGTTTGGCACCCTGCGAGATTTTGTGCAGAAATCTTGACAGCGAGTGTTGTTAGCTGGCTCGACGACGTGATTCATGCTCGAGTGGTGGTCACACGTGTGCCCACCGGAACAGATCTTGCCGGAGTCAATCACCACAATTATTACCTCTAGGCAGAGATTCCTTTTAATGGTAAAAGCAAGACACAGTTTCATGGTTGGATAGACCACTTTCAATCACATTACAGTGCGGCTATTTGTACATGTGCTAAGATATACTCAAGGCCGAGAATAACACTTCTATTGAACCTTCGCACATTCTACTAATATCTAAACACACACACACGACACAACATTCGGCTTATCCACCGAACTTCGCTTGTATGCGTGTGTACAATATATTGATACATGCCTTTACTAGCCCTAACAGCTAAAGGCACTCCGCAGTGTCTAATGACGAAGGTGCAACACAGGCAAACGTGCAGACCAATCATAACCTTAGCAAGGCTTACTAACATACCCATCACGTAACTTAAGCTGACAAATAAAAATATTATGGTCATAAACCTGATTGATTGATTGATTGATTGATTGATTATTTGATTGATTGATTGATTGTTTGATTGATTGATTGATTGATTGATTGATTGATTGATATGTGGCGGTTAACGTCGCAAAACCACCACGTGATTATGAGAGATGCCATATTAAAGGGGTCCGGCAATTTCGACCACCTGTGGATCTTTAACCTGCACACAAGTCTCAGCACATGAGCCTACAGCATTTTCGCCTTTATCGAAAATGCAGTCGCCGCAGCCGGAATTATATTCCGTGATCTGGTAGTTGAAAAACTAAAGCAGCGTAATAAAAAATGCAGTGTGGGCAGCTGACGAGAGCACAAGTTTTATTGCTGAGAAGTGTGGCACACCACGCAAAAATAGGCAACACAAGGCTGAAGGAATATGTGACAAATAAAAAGTATATATATTGATTCGCTTCATCTGTTCATCCCTCTCCACTGACACGGCTAGAAGGGCACACTGAGCGATTTTTGCTACTAGCGACAGAACGGACAACCAGTGATGCACAGAATTAATATACATAGGTGGACATGCTATCATGTGAAATTACGAACAATATACATAGTAACAACCCAAATTTTTTACAACAAATGAAATATTGTATGTGAAATCAATATTTCAAGTAGCGATCACTACTTGAAATATAGAAGCATTAGTCTCGCTACTTGAAATAATCAACATTATTCTGCCGTATCATGTGTCTGTTCGAACAGACACATGATACGGCGAAATAATGTTGATTAGCTTTTTTTAATTGACACGAAGATTGACTCACGCATAAAATAGCGGTATTGTATAGTCACACTCGTTATGGCTTCTGAAATTTTCGTGCACGTTCTTCCAACGCGTAAACGAAAACAGGACCAAAGCAGCAAAAACTTGGCGAGTCCCCTTACCTGAACTTTCTTCTCCACAAGGCGCACATGTCATGCAGAAAGCTCCCTTTTGATATTTGGAATACACCAGCCAGAAAAACATTTCTAGTTATAGAGTTTGGAATTTCTGTTAGCGCTTACTAACGGATGGGAAGGTGTAGTTAGCGCCTCGTTTCTATGCCGTCATTAACAAATATCGTAAGGCTCGTCGTCCTGCAACTCCTGGCGTTTAGGTTAAAACACGTGTAGACCAATGTTGTAATCAGGAATCAGGCTTTGCGTTCATGCATTGCACTCCGATCGGTTTTCATTAGTTCTTATGGCACGTGAGTTGTTTTCAGGTGGTGAATAACTATAGCTATGAACCGTTTCTTCGGCTGCTGTAGCGTTTTCGTTATTTGTCGAGTGTGCACTGGGGCAAGAGTCCCCTTTCGAGAAATAATCATCGAGTGATACCTTACGGCTTTTCGGCACGGCCATCGAGGGTCATAGAAGAGTGCTGATTGACACAGAACACTAACTACCCAGCAATAGGTGCAGGCAGCGTATTTCAAGGGGGTAACTTGGTATTGCTAGGAAGCAACACGCTCAGTAATGGTCGGGTAGTGACACTGAATGCGATAAAGAAGAACTTTAGTGACAATACATGTCGGCTGGTAAAGTTCTGCCTTAAAAGCTGGCACTCATTTCTCCCCTGGCGAAAAGATTCCCGGGTATACATTTCTTCCGCTTCCCTTCAGGTGCCGGTTATGTCGCGCTTGCCCAGTACCTTACTCTGCGCGCCGCCTCGTGTTTGTGATTGCTCCCCTACAGAAAGCTGATAGGTTCTGTTCCGTACTTATGCCATACCACAAACGTGAATGAACGCGAAGGTGTTGATGCCAGCAATGAAGTCTTCAGCCACTCGCATCAGAATGTCTGAGTCAGACAACCGACAGGCATGGTAGGTGCACAGTAGAGCGTAAGTAAATTCGTGTTGCATGCGCTGGCAGTTCTCTTCGGAGTTGACACGTTGTGAGAAATTGATTATGGTGCTATGCTTTGAAGAAGTCTGGAGTTCATTCTTTCATCACTAATGAACCGATCACTCGAGATTATGTGTGATACGAGGCTGCTCCTGTTCGCGCCGGCGTAGCTGCTGCAAACATGAAAAAACTTGATTGCACGTACTAGTTAGAGCAGTGTATACTAGGCATGTATGTGCTGCGCGATGAGATATTCTGTACAGTTCAGAACCTGTTGGCGTCAAGAAAAAAATGACGGCTACGCGCTTGTAAACAACGAAAGACACCTTACGCTGGGTGCCGGCCCAGTATTCTACCACTGAGCTACGCCGGTGCTTACGACGAAAGACACCTTTTGTCGTTTCAGGGAGCAGAGAGACGAAATCTATGAAACAAAAAAAAAACGAGATCGATACGTGTTTTTGCGCGTATTTAGGTTTTTTATATGAGGTAAAGTCTGGTCCCAGTTGCATTTTCAATTCAGACCAAGTAAACATTTCTCAACAATGTCTTCCTTGCCCTCGCAGATTACACGATGAAGCCTCTGCGATCAGAGTACTTCATTGCTATCAAACGTTACAGTGCAACTGCAATGTCAACCAAGCTTGCGAGAAAGTCTGCCTAAAAATAATGCGTGCGAAATCATGTTTCAAACTTGCAGCATAACTTACAAAAATAGTTACTTATTGCGTATCGCAAACATGCTTGGAAGCGCGGAGTAAAGTAACAAAAAAATGTTGGCTATCATCACTGTCAGGGCTGCTTGACATATAGAGCTTATATGCATGAAGTCCCATATATCGACAGTAAGAAATTATTCGCTCACCAAAGTAAGCGAAACCGAAATCTAATTATAAATGTGCAAAAACACGCTGTGTGTACCCCTCATTCGTCGTTGTAAGCGGAGTCGTCCTTGACTTGTGAAACGCACTTTGCCCCGACTAGGACTACTTCATGTACGCTTAAAAGAGATTAACGATAAAAGACGTCTTCTCTGATCGGGCGGGTCATCAGAATGATACGTTTTCGAAGACTAGTCGATTCAAAGGTGCGGCGAGAGGCCGTTGCTTCAAACAGTCGCTGTACGTGTCATTTACTTAGTTTACTGTGATTACTTTACTTTTTCTTACTGTCATCACAAGCATATGCTTGGTAAGAGGGTAGTCTCATGACTTTGATATACATGTATACAATCTGCTCAAGCTACCACCTATCAGACATCAGCCTTTTGTGACCTTGACGTCACAAAAGGCTGATGTCTGTGCCGCCCCCCCCCCTAGTCGGGTCGGTGTGAGCCACACCCCCTCCCACCTCCTTGAAAATATTTTCTGGCTACGCCTCTGAAACGATACCGAATTATTATAAGTCATTGTTCCCGAGCTTAACACGTACTGAAGAAATAAGAAACAGAATGTAATGCGAAGAGCTAGAAAAAGAAGCTGGGACGCCGAAGCGATGCTGGTGCTAGTTCAGTATGGTGGTCTATCATAATCCACGATTGATGTGGCAGCTGAGCGCGCCGTTCCTCAACTTGTGCTCTTTGGGTGCGCTTTCACGCGGAGCTTTGTTGCTCAAGAGCAGAGCCAACTTTACGGAAGAGCACCCCGTTCAATCCAGAGCACGGATCCGTGCGCCGCTCGCGCGCTCCCTCTCAGCGAAAGCGGCGGCGGCGCCGGCCGCACTCCTTAAAAACAGGTCTACGGTGCGGCGCCCCGACCAGAAGAAGGACACCAGCGGCACGATGCGCACCAACGCCACAGTAGCTCAGCGCCGCGCGCCTCATTCCAGCCTCCTCCGGGCGCCCGAATTGCTCCGAGTCGTCCAGATGCCATCGATGCTCCTACTACTCTTGGCGGCCACGTTCATGGCCCGCAGCGTGGCTGCAGAACCTTCCATCGGCGATGTCATCGGTCAGATCAGAGAAAGAGCCGCCGCCACCACGGAGGACGGTAGCACGACGACACCCACACCGCCCAACAAGACGAGGAACGAGCGGATACTGGAGCAGTGGTCCAAGTTCGAACTCAACCTACAGGACCTGGTGGATAGCGTGATCAGGAAGGTGCTACCGACAGTGATACGGCGCAGCTCCGAGCTGGAGGTGTCTCCCGACTGCCGCGACGCCCTGCTCAAGGTGGTCTTCGGTATACGACAGCTCAAGCGATGGGCCTTCCAATGTGAGTGCGGCCGAGCCGTTCATACACTAATTGTAAGCGCGTTAGTACGGAAGAGTTGAACTCTTCAGGGATAACGGGAAGCGTTCTCGTTGCGGGCGTTCTCTTTAGGAGTGAGCGTTTTTGTTTTCGGATTTATTTCTACTTTTCGTAGGAGCCAATACACTTTTAGCTCGTAACGCTGATGTTCAAGAGAAAAGCGCGTGCCGAGGCTTTCGGCACTCGCTTAACTCGTGCACTCGGCGCAAGTTTTAAGTCATGGAATCTGCGGTGGCGATTAGGGAAGCTCATTGACTTACAGTACCAACGCAACAGTACCAACGCAACAGTACCAACGCAACGCCTGTGCACGCACCGAAGCCGGTAAATAGCCTGCAAAAGTGGTCATATGCGTAAGACCAGTGATTCCGGTGCCCCGGATTCCATTTGGGCTCGAAACCACCGTAGCTGATCATAAGATACGACACACCTGGGCAATTCACTACACATATTGAAATGTTTCTTATAGTTCATTCCTGATCGCGCCGCACTGTTCGCAGAAGCCACCATGTTACTCTGCCGCAACGTTTCTGGCTTCTCGGATACCCCAAGTGAAGTGTGGTTTGTTATACTGGTAAACACTTTTGAGGGCGTTTACTCAAAGCTGCGCTTCTCTACACTGTACGTGTTGCTCAATACTACATTTTTCGTCTTAAGTGAAGAACACAATAGACCTGGACGTCCTTTCTGCGCGTCAGTGCTCCTGAAGAACGCTCATGCTGAATTCTCGAGGAACGCCACTCTAAGTCAAGAGAGCACGTCTGTGAAACAGCTTGCAAGGTACCAACATCACTACATCTTCCGAGAAATCCCGCATTGGGACAGTGTGTTCAAAGGACGCTTCTCTGACAGTGCTTTATAATAGCATTGCGCCAACTCTAGTTAATGAGCCAGCTCGAAGCCATGTAGTGGTGTGCTAACATTGATGTGGTTACGCAATGGCGTAGTGATGTTTTTGAACCGTTTTACAGCCTTGACCGCTCGCAAAAAGACAGTATTTAAGTTCGCCCACATCACTGACAACGCAAACAGTGTATACCGGTACAACACGTGTAGAGACCCGTACCCTCTTTTTCTAGATTGCCGTAGTGATGTGGCTGTAGTGCGAGCCGAAGCTACACATTCCAGATGGCTTACGCCTGAGTTCGCTACCGACTGCTGCAGTCTCCCGGATCGGCGCTTCCTCGCACCGTTCCTCGGGCCTTATCGCTGCCTCTATATTCTGTGGAAGGGAGTGGTTCAGTGATCGCCGCGGGCCACGAGATGGAGTCGCGCCCTTAATCTAAACGCGTGCCCTATCGCCTCATTTCAGAGGCCGTGTTCGTTTTACACCGACATGTCCCGAGCAGCAGCCTTGTTATTCAGCACACCTGAGAAGGAGTAGCCTTCAACAAAACCATACATCTGGTACACAGCGTGAATATACTCGGCATCGCAATGAATATACGTCGGCACCGCAGCGCGGACAGCATTGCAGGCGAGCATTGGAAGCAGTGTGCGCATTCCGGGCCGTTATATGCACCCGCCGCGCACGTCTGACTGCTGGCCAGCAAACCGACGTCGCGCCCTGGTGAGTGCAGGGGGACTTATAGCCTATGGGAGAACGACGGGCGGTGTAACGTGTCGGTCTGCTTACTTTTGCTGCTGTTCGATTGTTCCGAATATCACCTGCATTCTAGATCGCTTTTGAATATCTAAGGGCGGCCCATGCTGTGTGACCTGGCAAACATGGGGCTTGGTGCGCCCACCGCAATAGTCACCGTCGCCACCCAGGAAGTAGGCAACCAGGCTTTGTGCGCAGGCATGGCCTGTCGAAATCGTCGGCGTGCGCCCCCACACTGCGATGGTGTATCACTTTACGCTGCGAAGAAGAAATCAACGGCGCCAGCAGCATTCGTAGGGTAACGAACAGATATATTTGCGCATTAACGCGCTTCCTTCCGCACACATAAATCGCGCACCTGTGTGCGACATGGTTTAGAGATAGGAGGGAGGTGGTAGGCACAGCCGTATAACATCGTCCCCTCCAGTTTTCAAGGGAACAAAGAAAATTGGAAGAAAAATAAATGCCAGCTAAATGGCGGAGTGCTTCAACGCGTGTCGCTGGTTTCTTTTTATATCGTGTTGATAATATCTGGCAGAGTGATCGTTGCATACGCCATTGCATTTACACGCTGGCACTACACATGCGCTCACACCAAGCACGTGCCATCAAGCATGTGTTTACAGTGCAAGCACCCACTTTTAACGTTAAGGCGTAAAACCCGACATAACGAGCATCAAAAACAGCATGGCTTTTATCAGCAAGAGGAGGGGAGGGAGGGGGGAGACCTTCAACGGGCAGGTTCCATACTGCAATGTCCTGGGTAGAGCACGCTCTCTTGCTGAATACGACCAGCCCGCGCCAAACCAGTTGGCATTGCGTGGCTCATTCATCTATCGCTATATTTTTGCTCACACTAGACGCCTTAGTTGTGCGAAGAAAGGGCTCAATCTTCATGTCCCTAATGCGCGCCTAAACTCGGCCCGGAGCAAAACTAGTGCTAAGCAATCTTTGTGTTTTGTTCAGTTCAGTTCTGTCATAACTGTCATATTACCTATACATATATATATATATATATATATATATATATATATATATATATATATATATATATATATATAAACGAGGAAGGTTAGGGAACACCGTAAAGCCACCACTATTGTTGCGGCCCTGCCGAGACAACACAATGGTCAAACGCTATGGTCGTTCTCACGCGGACCGTTAGGGAGTGCTAGAATAATTGCGTGCACTGACGCGCGAGCGGATTTGTCACATGGTTTTTTTTTATTTCACGGGCATTTGCATTATCAGAAACACTAATACATACCAGATATAAAGTTAAAAACTATCTACTTGGACATTGTGCAAACCGATCTACAACTTCCTCATTGAAATTTGTTATCCATCTTTGTTACTTCAATAGTTAGTTACCTAAACATATCTAATAAACAATATTTGAGGACACAAAAAATAGTCTGACTTACTCCAGGCAATGGTGAGCAACAAGCATTTGGTCGCGTCGTAATTACGTGTTCCGGCATATTTTTAAACTCTGGCTAAATTTACTTGGGGTGCCCTGTATATAGATACGTATACATATACGGTGCACGACATCGACGGCCACGCGACAGCGGTGGTGAAATCCAGCCGAGAGTGTCCTTATAATTGCCATCACAATAAAAGAAGATTCCCCTTACGAGTAATACAAAACAAAATGTCTACACTATTGCTAGGTGTACGCGGACAGACTACTCGGCCGTACTCGTATGGGCGCGAGACCCGCATTTTCGTAACTAGTTCACTTCGCACTCCTGCTTCCGAAGCGCTTTACGCCGATGTGAACATAATGAGCTGAGAATCGCTCTCGCACGCGCGAACATTGGGTGCCGTAACAAGGCGCCCGCGGCAAGTGTGTCCCTTTCTTTCTTATAATTTCTTCCTTTTCCGCCAAGTTTCTGCCATTAAATCTGCCTCGAATCTTCCTCTATGCGTCTAGAGATCTTTACACGATGGATTCACTGCACGTGCGATAAGGAACCATGCGGCGAAACATCGTTGAGGTGAGCAGCAACGCTCTCTAGAGTGTTTTTTTTTTCATTATCGTTTCGTGTTTAATGAGGCAAACAAAAGGATTTCATAACCAACGAGTCTGTATTCCCCACTGTGAGGATACTGTGATGGTGATTCAATCAGTCAATGCCACATATCGACGGGTTTGAATGAACCAGACGCAACACGGGAAATGATTGAGAGCAAGGTGATCAAGTGCACTCGTGAACACCACCTTGTTCAAGCTGCTCGGGAGAAACGCTGGGTGACCTCCCCATAGAGCTACCCCGGTACAGATAAATTGAGTGGCCAGCCAGGTTCTTCTTTTACGTATGAAAGTGCAGAGCAGTCACTCCCTACTTCGTATACCCTAGAGTGGCCGCTTCCCGTTAACTTCAGCTGACGCAACCACAGTCTTCACAGGGAAACTCACACCACGAAACCTTCACGTGCATTGCACTCTTAGAAAGCGATTTGAGTACTGAGGCGTATCTTACACGAATATTTGCGACGACAAGAACATACAACGACCGCCACTTGTCGTTTCAACTCGTCCAGTGATTTTCCGTCAACTGTTCTGTCGACGGAGGTGAATAAATCTCAAGATCAGTCATACATGCATTCGTTTGAAATGAAGAAAGTTCCAATCATCACGTTCTTTTTTTGTGTGTGTTCGGGGCACGGAAGCTCCTTTTCAAGATATATATAGTACGTGGAACAGCCACTGCCGTCTTCCATGTTTTAAAGATATGCATGTTCACCCAAACTCGTCTACATTTAGCTGTTTTTATACAGAACATCGTTAAAAGGGATATGCCTGGACGTTGACGAAAATTTCAATGGATTATTTAAAAAAATAGTTTTCAAAGCAGCTGTCTGCTGCATTCATTGTTGATGTTAGTGGGTTCCGCATTTTAATACAGAACGTTTCTATCCGAAATAAAAGGATTACACGCCATCGTGAATTTTTGTAAAAGTTTTACCGAAAATTCTCACTTTGGACCACGCCGTAAAAGTGTATTGCTTTCTGCCGTGTTGACTTTCTGTTTTAAAGACAAGATTTTTTGGCACTAATGCAGAAAGTAAGCAAACAAACAAAAAGCAAAAAATACCCAGAGTGTTCCTTCACACGCGTGACGGAAGACCACTTTCAGGTTAAGAACTCAAGCTGCTGGCTTAGTTCACTTTGGTCTTCGAAAATGAGCACAAGGAACAAAAAAAGAGAATACTAGAAGAACTTTAGCTCACCCACGAAATATGAAGCCACGCTATACGCGGCCTAGAAACGAATGAGTGTCATGCTGCTAGAGCAAACTGAACATTTCCCTGCCTCTGCAGGGTTATACATAAATCAAGAAGGAGCTTGGGACGC